ATTTAAAAAATCAAGATCATTATTTGCAAATAAAATATCTTCAACATATCCACTACTAAAAAATGTCATTTTTTCGATGGAAAAATTCAGTTAAAAACAATTAAAATTCATTGAATATGAAGTTTTAGACAAAATTATCGATGAAAATGAAGTTGTCGAATATCTCTTCGTTGGTAACAATTTTTTCGATGGAATTAGATATTTGTCGAAAATTTTCTACGAAAATTATTTCGGTTGAAATTTTTTGACTAAAATACTTTTCGTAGAAAACTTTCAATAGAATTAATTTCCATATAAAATTTTCGACGAAATAATTTCCGAGAAAAGTTTCTTCGAAAATATTTGAAATTCCTTCTAAAAGTTTCGACGAAAAATGAATGAAATTTCGTTGAAAAATCTTATAATCATTTCCAACGGAAAACAAAGTTTGTCAAAAATTTTCACCGAAAAATCAATGAAATTTCGTTGAAAAATCTTTAAAACATTTTTGACGGAAAATATTTTGCGTCGAAAAATTTCAAGGGAAAATATTTTCAGTCGAAAAATTTCGACGAAAAATAATTGATATTCCGTCGAAAAATCTTGTAATAATTCTTTATGGAAATTAAGTTCCATCGAAATTTTTCTATGAAAAGTGAACGAAATTTCGTCGAAAAATCTTTAAAACATATTCGTCATAAAAAAATTGTCGAAAAATTTCAAGGAAAAATAATTGAAAATTCGTTGAAAACTATTCTCCCAATTTTGGACGAAATTGTTGTTCCGTCGAATTTTCTTTTTTTTTTAAAAAATATTCTCTGTACAAAATTAATACCAATTTTTGCATTGCACCTGATGAATAAATATAATCAAAGTAAATAACATATCAAAATCATATCATCTTAATACAATTAAATGTACAAAAGTTCATGTCATATACTAATCAAAAGAGTCTTACAAGTATAAAAAGTCCAAGATATATACTAATCAAAAGAGTCTTATTGTTGTTATCAAAAAAAAAAAAAAAGTCTTATTGCATGATATTACTTGGTAATCTACATAGGTATGTTTGCTACCTTTTATTGGATCACCTTTTTTTAAATCCCTACGTGTTTGTAGAATTGTCACATGTATTGATGACTAGTGTAATTTGTTTATTTTCAGAATAAATTCCTCGAGCAGAGGAATGCACGTGATATGGTGACTGCAAATGACGCATCTATGGCCAATCTGACAATGAATTATTCCTACAGACTGTTGGGGGTATGAAAAAAAAATGTCGTATTTTTGGTTTGGGTGCATAGGCGAGTAAATACCAGGCTTCGTAGAAGTTTGGTAGTTCGTATGAAGGAGTATCTGCATATGAGTATAATTGTATGAGAGGGATAATGAGTATAATAGTCATTAGTTGATATTGTAGTTTCATACATTTGTTATTTTTGCTTCTAGAGTACTTTATCATTGAGACTTCTTTGCTATTTGGCTATGATGGTTTGTATGGTTATAATTATTATAAGTTTCAAACTAGCTTTGATTGGTTATATGACTTTAATGATTTTATTATGACGATTATCAGGTATAAATTTTGTTACAAAAAATTCGAAATATTTATTAAATGTATTTTGACAGTAGGGATGGATTTAGGGACGGGATTTTTTCATCCCTAATATTTTGAAAGTAGGGATGAAATTAGGGACGGATAAATTCCGTCCCTATTAGGGACATATTCTAGCCTTTTACAAATCATAATTGTTGGTAATATTAGGGACGTAAAGCACTTATTAGAGAGATTTTATTGTGTCCCTATTAAGGACGAAACTAAAATTTCGTCCCAAAACATTAGATAGGAACGATTCAAGGATGAAATTTGTTCCGTCTCAAATTCTGTCCCTAAATAATTTAGGGACAGATTTATGGCTTTTAGGGACGGAATTTTTCTTTCTCTAATACCTATTTAGTAGTGTGGACGATTATTAGAGAAGGACTAAGGCCAAAAACTAACAGACATAATAGTTTCGGGAGAAAAATTTACTCGCCCATTGAAAAGGCACGAATTGGAGTTCATCTCGTTAGGTTCTAGATATCATGTTAAATATTAGTTCCCGAGAGACATATACTGAAATATGTTTATTAACTACACAACGGATATTCTATTATATAACTAAGTAAATGAGATAATAAAAAAGATGTACATGATCTGAGACTTTGTCTGTATACCCTAAACTACTATATACAATCCTATTTACAACAACCGTGAATTGTTGGTTTAATAATTGAATGAAATCCGGTCAAACCGTATTGTACCTCCCTTGTACACCGATTGAAAACAAGAGGCAGCCGGTCCCTCCATGCGATGCAACATACGCACCCGTTACAATTGAAAGAAGAATTTTGTTTTAAAGATGAAATTCTTCGATTCATCTTCATCAGATGTAGGAATTTCAATTCGAACAAACTTAAGCAACGCTCATGGATCAAGTGCTTCGGGTGTCTCACGCACAACTGCGATGGAATCAGCCTCTATTGGTGGTTGAAAGGTTGAGTAATGGTTTCTCTAGGACGAGAATGCATAGCTAACATTGATTCATGCAACTCATGAACTTGTGCGATCAACTAAGCAAGTTGATTCTTGCTTTCGTCGAATCATTGTTGTAGGGAACATACTTTGTAAAGAACTAATTCAATCTAAAAGCTTAAGATGTTGGATGAGGTTATATTAATGGTTTTATATATCTCAATACGCTACCTCACACGAGAGCCCACTAGACTTTAAGGGTGGACAATGCACAGGCCCACTTACATGTGCTAACAAAGAAAAATTTCACATGAAAGAAAGTGAGGGCGGCGAGCATTGTTGTTAAAACGTAGTGTCGAAACGTAGAAATGTACCGTTTCTACGTTTTAATGACCAAAAACGTGTCAAAACGTTGGTTGAAACGGATTTTGGATCGAAACGGTTGAAACGGTTGAAACGGCGAGTCAACTCGGTAAACTCGGTTGACTCGGCGAGTTTACCGAGTTGACTCAGTTTTTTTTTATAAAAAAAATAGGGGTATTTTTGTCAAATCACGTCATCCCCAACTTAAAACAAAAAAAACCCTACCGCTCATTCATCCTTACGTACGCGTGGCTGAGTGCTGAGTTCCTGCTGGCTTGCTTTTTCCGGTTTTCCCCCAAAAACAAAAAACGCGCTGCTTCTTCAGTTCTCCTTCATCAAGCGAGGTATTCTTCTTCTTGTTTCTTCTTGCTTCTTGCCGTCTTCACTCTTCAGAGCACATTCTTCTTCTTGTTTCTTCTTCAGAGCACGTTCTTTCTTGCTCATTTTTCTTTGCTCATTTTTTGCTTTTGTACAATACCGAGTTTTTTTAATAATAGAAGTATGGGTGATGTATCCTCTTCAAATCTAAGACGCCACCATCTTTTCATACTGATATTAATAATTTAATATAGTTGAATATTCAATATTAAATTTTTATAATTTTTTAATTTTAATACAGATCTAGTTTTTTATTTATAATAAAAGAAATATTGAATTTCCTAAAGTATTTGATATTGTTTGAAAGTAGAAATATTTGACTGTATTTAATTTTTATAAATATTATTGGAAGTAGAAGTATTTAATTTTAATTCAAATCTAAACAATGTTTTATTGTTTTATTATTAAAAATGATCCAAATTTAATTTACACGTATGTTTTACTCTATGTAACCACTGACAATTTTATCCCAGTAAAGTAATAGGAAGATTTCAATTTTATTGCATGATGTTGAGCAAAACAGAAAACTAAATTCAACGGTTATAAATCAATTTAAATGCTTAAAGGATAATAACTAAATTCAACGGTTATAAATCAATTTTATTGCTTATGATATTTCAACGGTCAAATTTAAGGTGAAAGCATTAAATATAGGAAATCATAACCATACAAAGGTAGAAATAAATATATAATATTAAATTTGGAAAATCATGACCATACAAAGATGGAAATAAATATAACCGTTGGATCAACATAAGCGATCTAACAGTGAGATTGACTGGGTGTCACATGGGTGTAACATAACTTGGGTGTCACAATATCCTATCCCTCTTTTTTTTGTAGGTTACAGGGAATAGAATATCATGACCTAATCCATTATTTTCAATTCTAGATAATCCTTTATATTTTCTTCGAAGAGAATAAAAGTTAACTGATTTATTTTATTACTTATTTCCTAATCCATTTCCCTAACCATTTAAATTGAAATAAACCTAATCAACTACAATTGACCCATTTGAAAGACTAAGGTCCAACTGATCAAAGAGATTAGCCAACTAAGGGGTCTATGCACATCAAGCTCCATATGGGCTAATGGACAAGCCATCTGAAAACAAACAAACCCAAAGTGCAACATACAAGGATTGGGCTGGAATGCTTAGATAACGGGAGCTGCTATAGCATGTGGTGAAGCAGAGAGGTTTTTGTTTTGGCTTTGCTGATGTAGCTTTGTGATCAATGGTTGGGAGTTTTGGGATTTTGTTGTTCTGTTTCTTCTTGTGGCTTTCTTTGTGTTTGAACTTATGTACATGTTATTGTGAAAGGTTTTGCTTTGATTTTGTATATGATACATCGAAGTTTGGTTCGAGTATCTTTAAGTCTCTTGAAGATGTAGAATATTTAATTAACTTCCATTGTTTGATATTTTACTTGATGAAAACGAACAATAGATAAATATAGAAGCTACAAGCACTCAAAGTTCAAGTACTGATAATAAGAAGAATCTTCTAAACACCACATAAATAATAATGAGTATAGGATACATATATAGTTCCACAAAGGGAGGAAAAGGGAAAGAGTATGATGCATAACATAACACGTGTAAATGGAGCAGTCCAAGGTACAAGAATGTATCAGAGAGATATAACGATAACTGATAATGTGTAAGGAAAAAAATAAAATAAAATCTGTGTATGGATCCTAAGTGCTGAAATGTGATACAGAACATGTGCTGTTCCTAATACAAAATTTCCGTTTGTTAGATATCCTAAGACAATGACTGGCCACGGAGATAGCGCCAAGGTCCTGTTCCTGTTCCCATCCTGCATTTTCATTTAAGGTTCATGTTATTCAACTTCAGCATATAAAAATTTACAAGAAATAATAATTATATTTGACTAAGTTAATTTCTTTTTCTTTTTTTATTGAAATACTAAAACTAGGTGCTTCATTTTTGCTTGTTTAATATTGTAGATCCTAGATAATAATAGGCAACTCTCAATGCATCAAGCGCTTGTGGACTTGTGGTCCAGTGTCATGTGTTTCCTATACAGAATCAAACACAAGCCGCAACTAACGTGTGGTGCTTTACATATTTTTATTGCAAAAGTATTTTTGCAATTGTGGCGGAAATACTTTTCTCCGTCACAGACACAAATTTTTTAATATCTTTTATGATCGGTACGTAGATTTTGAAAAGTTTTTTTTTCTTTTTGAACAAGTAGGCCCCAATTTGTTATGTCTATGCTATGGTAGATAAAATTGTCTGCAACTGCTGCAGATTCCACAAACCCAATTTTTATTTATTTTAAAAGTTTGTTTGGTGGATAAGATAAGATAGGAATAAATAGGACAATTGCATAAGTGTTCAATAAGCTCATGTTGTGGGTTCAATATGAAGAAGTTTACCTCCATATACCAGCCAACATGCGAAGAGACATATAGATGGATAGTGCAATCCAGATCCCAACGAAGTGTTTGCTCCTGTAGAGGATAAATTCTATAGCAACACTTACTACTGACACAATGACCTGAAATAACAAACAGAGTGGCCAATAATTAATTACTAAATAAATTTGAATAAAGATGGTACATACTATGAAATAATACTAATAGGGAAATGATCCGTTTACAAATTTTTTTAACAAATTTTTACAAATTACACTATCTTCTGGGGAGAACATAGTGTAACCTAATATTCTCCTGGAAGAAGATAGTGTAGTTTGTAAGAGTTTGTAAACAAAAAAGTTTGTAAATATAACCTGCGCCATACTAATAATAGTAATAAGAAAAATCATGTGAACTTGCCAAAGAGTATGCAGCATATGCAAAATCAGATGCCCCATAGTTCACACCATCGAAGACGAATGCTAATGAATTGAGTGGTTGAGTAGCAGCAACAAACTGGAGTGTTAAATGAAATTAGATAATAATCACACAGAAAACATTATGGTTTCAATTATTGATTTGTTGTTCGAGGGATATATATATTTATATACCGGGATGCCTAGTTTGATTAAATGCACAACATCAACATTTTTGGAGAATATTCCAGCTCCAAAGTACAATCCAACTCCAACAGCAAGAGAGAGCCCCACTCCTAAAACAAAACTCATTTGCAATGTCCTTGTTGCAGCAGCTGTTGTCTTCTTATAGTCTTTCTCAGCAAAGGAACAAGCAAGAATTGCCTGTGAATCAAGGACACTGACTGATTAGTATTATTTATTTGACTTTTATTGTACAAAGTGTGACAAAATTATTCCTTTATAATCAAAAAGTCACCAGTTCGAATTGAGATAACATTTTCTTTGAAAATATATAGGAACAAAACTGCATATATGGATTACCCTCGTCCCTATCCCGTTAATCGGGGTAAAACGAGGAGTTTTTTTTTTTGTTGAGAAGTTAAATTATTCACAGATATTTAGGATTTTTATTTTATTTTTATTTTCCGTACCTGTACAGCAACAGCCAAACCATCAGCAAGAAGGGAAGATGTCAACCAGACTTGTAAGCATGTTTGAAATGCAGCCATAGGAATTGAACCTAACCTTGCTGCCAATGATGCTGCCAAGGTCACACAAAATGTCACTGCAACTACCCTTGCCATCAAAAGACCTCCTGCATTTAACCATGAAAATTAGAAACAAAATCCAAATATATAAGTAATGCAAAATTTATTATCATCATTCACTAATGACATAAAATTAAAAGTGTTTGATTGCTATATATTTGAGTATCCCTTGGTTTTTCCAATAATAATAAGGGGCAAGATATATTTACTACCAAAATTTTTTACCACATTTATAACCAACCTAATTATCGTCGATTTCCGTCAATCTAACGGTTATAATTTATTGAGAATTAATAATTAATTAATAAATACGACCTAATAATTTTTAATAAATCATAACTGTTAGATTGACAGAAATCAACGGTGATTAAGTTAGTTGTAAAGGTTGTAAACTTTTTTGGTGGTAAGTATATCCTTCCCCTGATAATAAAGAATATATAACCTGAATATGCTATGTTTAAGTGCCTTACCATTTTTAAGAAACCGGAAAATCTGCAAATCCTTTATGGTTGGAGGTACGAGAGACACTTTTTTCATTAATATCAACAAGAGGACTAATGCCATCACGTACCTAAAAGGATCACCATTTTGTGAGATAGAGTGGTATGAGCACAAACAATATTCCGATGCATAACAATGTAAGACTTACTGGGAGAGAACATGTGAAATGGCTGCACCCTTGATTCCCATTTTCAACGAGAAAATAAGTATTGGGTCCAACGCGACATTCAATGCATATCCCGAAACTAAATAAAATCAAATAAACAAATGAATTAAGTTAGGGAAAATATTGGAATAAAAATGTTAGCAATATTCTATTTCACATTCTCTTTTTAATATTAGTTTAATTATCGTGTGAATTTTTATATGAACCCCATTAATCGAGAGTGGGTTCGGAGTTTTCAATGAAACCTACATGAGAATTTACCCCACCTCAAAAAAATATTAAAGAATATGTTAGTATAGGATGCTTCAAAGTTCAAAATAAGACAAAAAATCCATCTCTATTTTAAGAATTGTGGTGCATAGTTCATTCTTTATTTGCAAGTTTTCTCACTTTATCAACTCGGATTAACTGACAAAGAGTTACTCCCACTAAATCAACAATACTGAGTTCAAGTCTTTGGAAACACAGTTGAGATATATAGTCCCACATTGGTTGAAGAGCAACTAATGTGGAGTTTATAAGGTCTTGGGCACTCCCACCCTTTGAGCTAGCTTTTGGGGTGGTGTATCTCAAGGTTCTTAACATGGTAAAGGTAAATCAAAAATTGGGTCTGTTGCATAATCCACGCTTCAAGCTAAGAGGGCTCTTGCGTGAGGGGGCGTGTTGAGATATAGTCCTACATTGGTTGAAGAACAACTAATGTGGAGTTTATAAGGTCTCGAGCACTCTCACCCTTGAGCGCATGTTGAGATATATAGTCCCACATTGCTTCAAGCTAAGAGGGCTCTTGCGTGAGGGGGCGTGTTGAGATATAGTCCCACATTGGTTGAAGAACAACTAATGTGGAGTTTATAAGGTCTCGAGCACTCTCACCCTTGAGCGCATGTTGAGATATATAGTCCCACATTGGTTGAAGAGCAACTAATGTGGAGTTTATAAGGTCTTGAGCACTCTCACCCTTTGAACTAGCTTTTGGGGTGGTGTATCCTAAGGTTCTTAAGAAACACAACTCTCTTAAATCATATGGTCTTACCAAACTCAAATCAAACTAGTCGAATTATGGATGGAAAAATAAAATAAAATAAAGCTTTCACATTTCATCTCTCAAAATATGCTTCATTCTAAACAATAAATAATTTCATCCTACCGATGACATATAAAGGAGTTGTTGTGTCCTTGAATCCTCGAAAGATTCCTTGCATGGCCAAGGAGAGAAGAACTGCTGGAGCACCAAACGATCTCAATCTTAAGTACTTCTCTGCTGGTTGTAGCATAGGAGAATCCTACACATAGTAGAAATAGCTCCATTATAACTAAAGCATATTTATGCATAAACAGATATATACTTTAGGTAATGAAGAAAGATATGTAATAACATATGATCTTCATGATGAAGAAACTCACATGTTTTACACCCATCACCCATAATAGAGGTTTGGCTGCAAATATAAGGATTGTAGCTTGAAGGAGACCAAGGATTATGCCAAAAAGTAGTGCTGTTGATGCAGAAGCAATGTGTCGCTTCTTCTTTCCAACTTTATCCTTAACCTTATTACTACTAATAACTGAGGAAGTTTTGCATATATTTGTATTGGCATCTGAAATGTAGAGAAGCAATAACTTATCATTGAGTTTAAAAATATCATAATATAATCAAATATTCAATGCATGCAATTTCTCCACACATGTCCACAACATATGATAATTAAGGGAAAAAAATAGGTTGATCATAATGAGTGTGCTACATCTAGGACATGGACATAGATATATAGGCAGAGTCAGAAGAGACTGTTATAGAGAGAACGTACCATCTCCATTATTTGTGTCATTATTCCCATTAGCATGTTTTTCCACATCCTCAGGTGCTAAACTTTTCACTGCAGGATCGTTTGTTTCATCACTTCCCTTCATAGATTCTTCTGGAGCCTCAATGTTCTCTTTGGTTGTACCTTTTTCAATGTCTTGAAGCTTATGATCCTCGTGCATTGCTTCACTGAACTTAGCCTTATCCTTGTCGGAAAACTTGTTTTCTGCTGCTTCAATATTCAGCTTTTCAATAGTATCTTCCTCAGCGACAAAAGAAGTTGTAATACTGACAAGAGGGAATATGAAAATTCTTGAAGCTTGGTTGAACAGAGCAATGGAAACTCCTGCAGCAGCAAGTTCCACCGGTCCTAAACAAATGAAAAGGAAAAGTTAGCATCAAAAGCTAAAATAGTGAAAAGTTAGCCTTAACAAGTGTTGACAAGGAAAAGATAAATACCCAAGTGGCCTATGAATGCAGTGTCTATGAGAGAAGCAATGGGATCAGCAGCAACAGCAAGTGCAGAGGGAAATGCAATTCCTAATATCTCTCTAGAAAGAGCATCCAGCTTGAAAACAAGTCTACATTCACATTCTCATAATCAAGTATTAGTAATTCATATAAAATTACTTGAATGGTTTAACTTTAGAGCAACATATAAATGCAATGCATTTCAAAGAAATCAATTTTTCCCCATCAACCAATAGCACATTGTGATATTAGTATATCATATTATCTTCATATCATTTAATCATAGCCAGAGCATGATGCCGCTTCTTCATCAAACATGGGTGATAATATATATGGTATATATATATATATAATACCTTGCATCTTTGAAGAAAACGAAGAGAGGTAGTTTCCATTTGTTGTTGGGTTCATTGGAAGTGCCATTCTCATCCATGATAATATTGTAGATCTCGCACAACAACAATGATATACACTACAGAAGTGCTTCTTACAGAGTTGATTATTTCAATCAAAAGAAGAGGATGGCTTAAGGGAAATATAATTTCTGATAAGGCCAATCCTCAACTATCTGCAAAGAAGAAATTTAACATATACGATCACACCATGCATGAAAAAACAAGGTTGGCAACTAGAAATAAACATAAAAAAGATAATAATGTGATACCTTTTTTTTGGTGTTAAAACTTGAAAGATCACAATGTAAGTGACATATTTATAGGAGTAATTGCTGATATTGAAGAGTCAAATGGTCAACATTAGCATTAAAGACATTATGAGTGCGTGGATAGTGAAAAAAGTAACATACAAAGTGTTGAGTAAGCATTTCAGTTCTTCTTTGTTTATAGCTGAAACCTTCCTCAGTTATGTCAAACTACAGACATCGTTTTCATATAAAGTAACCCCTTACTTCTAACAAATACAAATAATATATGCAAAAGTTAGGGAAGGATCCATGAAATGCAAAAAGTCGAAAGATGGGTTAGCAGAAACGAAGAACGTGACAAATGCTCAATAGAGCAAACACCGCCCTCAGTTATGCATACCCTTGATATCAACATAATAGAAACTTCGTATCAGCTACATGAAAGAAACAAAAAAAATAATGTATATTATTATTTTATGCATCATTAAATACGGCAATGAAATGGTTCTTTCCCCAGTTACTACTGAAACTAAGAATAATGAACTGTGATCACCCGTATTTCTAGGACCCTATGTAAGAGCCTAGGCTTTTTTACCCAAGTCGAATTGCGCAATTATTTATCAGTTTAGTTTTTTTCAAATGATTTTTCAATTTAATGCGAAAAGATGCTTATTATGGTAGTGTACTTTTAAGTTTATAATTATTCTTATGCGTGACTTGTGCAAAAATCAATACATGCCTATCATGCATCTGCCCTCTCATATGTGAGGTGCGCATGACTTTAACGTGTACTACCATACATACGTGTTTTGATTTTGCCTAAGCCACACATGAAGCACAAAAATTTCTTTAGAAGATGTTTGATACGAGTATTTTGATTGGAATAATGCGAAAGTGGGGTTGGGTTTATTTTTTGACCATATTTGATATTAAGAAACATAAGAAATTCTTAGCCAAATAATTTTCCCAACATTTGAGTTTGTACCTACAGCTGGAAATAAAAAATCCTTCCCTACACATGGTATTTTTTTTTTCCCTTGAATTCGGATTCTAATATTTTTATGTTTTGGGACCAAAATGCCCTCCTGTTTCATGACCGATATACAATATTTTCAAAAATGATGGGTAATTTGATAAATTCAATTCATATTCCCATCAATATTTTACAATCAACCAAACGTAGTATCAGTCAAATTAACCCAACTTTTCCACTATTATTTTGAGCTACCAAACACTTTTTCGTTACTTTTCTGGGCAAAATATTTTTCTATCATATTTTTAAAAATCTTTTTTTTACACGGTAAAAAAAAAATCTCTTGTATCAAATGTCTCTTTAGTGCTACGAATATATCTAGTTTTTTTGTACATCTTCTACTCACAATATGTGATACATATCTTATTTTTTATCAAATCATTCTTTCACCTGATTCTAAAATAAATTATTTATTAATAATTTGATAAAAATAAAATATATATCACATTATAAGTCAAAAAATGTACAGAAAATTCAATATATCCGTAGATATTCTCCATGAAGCACATGCAACTTGAATGTGTATTGCTAGATGACTTTTCGCATTTACCGAAAGAATTAAAGTGATGAATAGTTTTAAATTTTACTTTACATGGGTCAAAAAGCAAGAGCCTATTATACGCTACATTTTTTTTAAAAAAATATTATATACTTGTTTTGGACCTACCAAATAGGCTATTTTAGGTATTGAGTCTTATCTAATATAAGATAAATACCTTATAAATATATCATCGAGTAAAATACTTATAAATAAATAATTAAGTATCACAGGTATATTAGCTGTCACACTTTTTTTACTCTTTATATATCATTGGTGCATAATGATTTATCACCTGATCATGTGGTCTCCTCAGTAGACAGCAAGCTCACATGTGCTACATTAACCTCAATCCATCATCATATCGAAGAATACTACTTAATTGTTGGAGTTGAGTACCATTTTCTTACTATTATGTTTCCAAAGAAGCAGAAAATAATAGAAAATAAATTCTACTAAGTAGCATGCTCAGAACAGTACATTCTAGTGACATGAATCACTTATGCTGGAAAAAAGACACTGCGGATACTAATTATGTGAGTCCTCTAATAGCGCAAATAATATTGAACAGTTTTGCATGCGTGATAAGAGATAACATATTGTAGAAGGTGGACATGTCATAACCGTGTTAGCATATCATTAATCAAATGGAAGTGAGTACAAAATAATGCGAATTTCAAGAATAGCCACAGAACAGCAGTCAACAGATGCATGTGAACTTATTAAACTAATCATTTAAATATGGTCTAAAGCAAAAACACACCTTGGGAAAAAACCAATGTTATCATTCTTGGGGAAAATGTATATTCTTTAAAATTACATAAATTTAAGTTTTTTAAAATAGAGATAAATATAAAGAAGTGTAGAACTCGTTAAAAATAAAATAAAGATGTGGGTCTCATCTTTTTATATTTAATTTTTTTTAAAAAAATCTAAATTTATATTCTTCAAAAAAATACATATTTTTCCCATCATTCATAGGTAAAATGTTTTAGGAAAAAATATTTGTTATGTCCCATGATAAATATTTTCACTTATTGTGACTCTTCGATCTGCATGCAAAAAAAAAAAAAAAATTAATAAATATGAGATTCATTACTAATTGAATCACGACGCGAGAAAATAATTTTTCTAAAAAATCAAATCCCAAAGTTTTATATGTTTTTTAGGCAACTGCCTTTTATCAGTATTTCCCTCATTTAAAATTTTATATTAAATCACACCCCTGATTTTTTTTTTCAGTATATTGTAACTAAAGAAAATCTAAAATTATTAAAAAAAACTATATTTATCATTACTTAATTTTTATCAATTACCCTTAAAATAAAAATATGCAATCATATTAAATATTTATTATCTCATTCATTAAATAAAACTAAAGAGGGTCAAAAAATGCTGTATATAATATAATATTCAAAAAACATTATATAAAAAGAATTGATATGCATAGCAAGTATGTAAAAGAGATTGATACAAGTTTTTACTGTTTAACATACAATTATTAAAACACATCAATTTTCTGTATCAATTCATTTGTATTTACAAAATTCATATCTTTACTATTCTATATATATATATATATATATATATATATATACGTATAAAATTTATTTTGTTTAATAAATGATATAAGGCATATCAAATGTTATCATATAATTTTGAAAAACTACTTTTAAATTGAAAATGTAAAATGTTTAGCAGAATTAGGTTGATTTCATTATGTATATATTATTTAAATTAATTATAATTATTTATAATATAAAAAAATTCTTCTTTATTTTTTTACTTAATGACAATATTTAAATTCTCTCAACATTAAATTTTTTAATCACAAATTACTAAAATACCATCAAGATAAATTATTTATATATTAGGATTTTGTTTACAATTAAAAATAAAAAATAAAACTAATAAATAAATTAAAAATCAAAATGTCTTAACATGTGGATCGATAGAACCTATTCAACAAATAATAATAATAATAATAATAATAAGGATTTTATATTTTTTCTACTAAAAATTATAGGAAAAAGTGTTTCTCCTGTCTGTCACGGGAGATAACTTTTTCTCTTGTCATGGGAGATAACTTTATCTCCGGCAATCACAAAACAACGTCATTGTGGTGTTTAGTCATTTTGGTGTTTAGGATTAAAAATAAAAGGTATTTTAAAATTTTTACTTTTCTCTTTTATTATTAATTTTACTAAAATACCATTTATTTTTAATCTTAAACCCCAAAATGACATTGCTTTAAGGTTGCAGGAGATAAAGTTATCTCTTGTGGCAAGAGAAACGTTAATCACAAAATTATAATGATAAAGACTAATATAACTATAAAATTATAATTCTAAAGACTAATATAATCTCAAAGGAAATTAGAATTACAAAAATATCTTTCTCCCAACCTCAAAATGACGTTAATTTGGGATCACATGAGATAAGTTATTTCTAGTCACCAGAGAAACATTAAATCCTAATAATATTATTATTAATTAGGAAAAAATATTTCTCCACACTTTATCTCCAGTGAGCTCAAAACAACTTCATTTTGAGGTTATAAAATTAAAAAACTATAATGATAAAGACTCATATAACCCTGCAATATATTATAATTACAAAAATATCTTGATTTTCACCCCAAAACGATATTACTTTAGACTCACCAGAGATAACTTATTTCCGTTGATTGGAGAAATCTTTTACCCTATTAATAATAATAATAAGCTAGTCAAATATCTGATTCATTCAAACCTGGAAATTGATTTTTTTTTCAAAAAAAATTCAAATTAACGGATACAAATTTTTATTTCCTTTTAAAATCATATATATTAATGCAACATCTTTGCTTGAAATAGTGGACTAGATTGATAAATGAATAAAGAAATAACATAATGTTATATTGTAGAGAGGTGTATATAATATAGAGATAATTTAGTGCGTTACGATATCAGGGAAATCCTATGGGAGCATGAATTGCGAGTCATCACGGCAATGATTACATTTTCTATTTATAGTCCTTTCCTACCTCTTGTATTTTTCTCTTTCTTTTGCATACCATAAGTCAAGCCACATAATGCAAATGTCAACAATTCACTCTATGTTTGGCATCTTTATTGTATTATTTTATGCTATTACGTATGATTTTATATTTATTATTATTTAATTACTAATTTCAATTCAAAAGTTATTGGGAGATATTTATTACGATTTCGACAAGTG